CCACCACATAATTTGACAAATATATACGTCTTACAGTCGTATGAATGATATCATAAATAATTACTACAAGTCATTATCCGACAATTATTTTTCAACCTTCAAATGCTTGAAAAGCTCTACAAAATGCCATTGGCATTATTTATTTATTAATTGAACAATGCTATAGTACAGAAATTTGTTTAGAGAAATTATAGAGATGAACGCTTGACAAATTATCATTGGAAGATGAAAAATACAAAACAAAAGTGGCCATATAGGTGCTATCAACGCAGCATTTGTACAAATTTTTTTTTCGGTATTTGCAGAAAAATTCTTATTATTTTTGTTTTTAATTTGATAAAATTCATTTTTTTAAAATGTGTTTTAAATTGTTTCAATTGAAACTCATTTGCATGAAAAATTTAAGACTTGCTGCAATTATTCTTTATATTTTTATTTTTTTTATTTAAAAACATGATATATTCATCATTTTATGATGTTCCCAACATTTGCTTGACCTGAGCTGAATTGTGTTAAATTGCACTAAAGGCATGGTGGTGGTTATGCTAGAGGGAATGAATAAAAGTCATGAGACACTATAATCAAGATTCTGGAGATATATCGGTCAAAATGTCATTATCCTGATGCTGAAAAAAAGGTGTACTATCTATAAAAAAATTAATGAAACATGAGAAATCAAATCTTAGCCTAGGAAAATGAACAAATTAATGTACATTGTAGAATTAGCCACAGATGTAAACCCTCAAATTCAATCTATTCCGAGTTCAATAACAAAAAAAATCTATTCAAGAGAATTATACAGCACATTATTAGCAAGTTTTTAATTCTTGAACCAAGTCAATATCTTCTGTTAATGATAAAAATTAGATAAACAAATCCTCTCACTTAGTCAGGATTTCACCTCCTAATTTCACTAGTTTTAATGCCAAACGACAGCTAACAATGAAATGACTATTTGGGATTGAGATATTTGAATTGCATCTATCACTCTTCAAATTATAAAATATCTATATATTTTCCTTCAAGTTTTGTAGAAATATGCATATTTTGGGGGGAATGATAGATAGATGGCGACACCTTGGGATTGAGATATTTGAATTGCATCTATCACTCATCAAATTAGGAAGCATCTATATATTTACTTTTAAGATTTTGAGTAATATGTATATTTTGGGAGAATGACAGATGCCGACACCTTATTGATTACTTAGTAATAGATTCTAACCCAATTATATCTCACTGAATCATGTGTAAACTATTATATATATGTAGTACAATTGTACTAAAAAATATTTAGGAAATGAAAAGGAATATATTTTAAAAAATTAAAACTACTAAGAAACAGTGGCAATTATGGCAGGGGTGTCAATTTCACTCATCGACTTGGGCCGTCCATAGCTCAGCCCGAAAAATACCAAAGCCAGTCCAACCCAAGGCTCGATTTTACCGAGCTGAGGCTTGGGGGCTCGTTAGCCCATTTTTGTCCCGTGACAAGTCGACCTTAAAAAAATAAAATGAAGCTACAAGTAGCATAAGTAGCTGCCTGTACTTTATTATAAAAAAATAAAATAAAAAGCATACGAGTCGACTTGGCTCGATAAGAATCTAGTTGAAACTAAATTTTTTAGCCCAGCAAAAGGTCGACTTGATTTGAGCCAAAAAAATTTCGAACTATTTTTACTTGAGTAGAGCCCGACCCTTAAATTTCGACTCTCGAGCCGATTCAAGTCAACTCATTGATTTATAGTATGGTACCTGAAAGCAAGTGGTAGTTATGCCGGAGGGAGTGTACTATAGGACACTATTAATCAAGATTTATCAGTTGAAGTGTCGTTATCTTCATGCTAAAATAAGAGTGTATATACTAATAACATGAGAAGTCAAATCTTGGCTTATGAAAACGGACAAATTAATGTACACCATAGAATTAACTACGGATGTAAACACTACCCTAGTTCAATAGAAAAAATATATATCGAAGAGAGATTGTACAGCACATAAATGATTGTAGATTAATGTTCAAATCTATCATTTTTGCATCCATGTAGTTCAAAAGGCAGATGGATGGACTTTGTTCATTGACCATTAGTTAACAAAAAAATCAATTTGACGACATCTTGATCAAATTTAAAAGGGCAAAATTGTCATTTTGTACTTCCTCAATAAAATAATTTTAAAAAGGAAAAAGTAAAAGACAATTTTAACTGTTCATCTCCTCCACCAAACCCTCATGCCCAAACCACCCCACTCACCCCAACCAAATGAAAACCAACTCACCGCCGCTGCCTACGCCCACCGACATCTGTATTTGTAAATCTGATTCGTGTATATTCAATTTAAAATTTTATATCTATTATCGTCAAAAGTGCTAATGGATTTTATGAATTTGGAAGTGCAACCATCACATTGCAAATCAGCCTTCAAAACAGCAGTAATATTATCATTTCTTCCATTGTCTTTCTTCTTGTTATTATCATTTTCGTACTTCTGCTATGCTTAATTGTTCTCTTGTTCTTCTGCAAAACCCACAAACAAAAAGTCATAAAAAACCAAAGACTCAAAAAATTAAAAGGGAAAAATTAGAACAAACACCAAGAGAAGCCCGTGATAAATTTGTTGTCTGTGGACCTTCGCATGATGAGTAATCATGTACTCAAATGAGAGGATTTCCCTTTTAGATTTTTGCTCATTTGTTATAGATTACAAATGCAGATGTCGGAGGACAGATTTCTGGCCATAGCAGCGGCGGCGGGGGGTGAGTTTTGATTTGGTTGTGGGGTGTGGGTAGGGTGAAGGAGATGAATAGTTAAAATTCATTTTTTGCTTTTTATTTAATTATTTAATTATTGTGTCCTCTAGAATTTGGTCAATATGTGGTCAGACTAGAATTTTCTCTTTCTTTCCTCCTTTTTTTTTTAACTAATGGTCCATGGATGGAATCTGTCCATTTATCATCCCGATACAGTAGAGGTGAATGATTTGGAACTCTGAGTGCAAAAATAAAATGTTTGAATGTAGTCTACAATAATTTGAAAGATTTGAAATCTCATTTGCAATTCTCTCTTTTGAATTCTTGAACCAAGTCAATATCTTCCTTTAGTTGGGGTGATTTTTGATAAACATAGAAAAAAGGTTGCAATAAAGCAATTAGAGCCACCAAATTATAAAGTTCTAATGAAATTGTAAAAGAAGAAAATAAATTGAACACAAGGAGGATACTTATCACTATTATTGAAATAAAATGTTGTAATCTGATAGTTTTAAATTGCATTTACTAATATGTATTCCATTCATTAGCTTGTTGTCCCAACTCCTTCGCTCGTGTGATTCTCTAATCTACGCTAAAAGTTTGTGGCTAAACAAGTAAGAAAATAATTTAGATTTCAAGATATAATAATCACCTAAAACAACTTCTAGCTCAAAAGAAAATTTTACAAATAAATTTTGAGCTCTAATAGTCCATGCCAACTGCTTCGGGCACAGGTTGCAGTTTCAGAGTTGAAGACGATGCCATGTGAGACTTGAGAGTGACATAAGAGTATAATAACTTCTTCTCCTTCGACAAGCCTCTCACAATTCCTAGGACTTTCCTCACTTCATTTGTCGGTTCTATGACAGATTCATCTTCATGACCTATTTATTTATACATACAAAATGAGAAATCGAACATGGTTCCTCTAGTTGAGCAAGAAAAAAAATCAATGAATCAAGTACTCAAAGCTAATAGTAAATGTAATGAAACTTGTCAATGTCAAACATGGCCTTCTCCAACAAGAAAATGTAATCTCTGTCGTTACAGCAGGGACAATTGGCGGTTGCTATTTGCCTAGATTAAACACACACAAGAAATTAGAATTTCATGGGATTAAACATAATTACAAAGGAGAAACATAGAAAGGATGAGGATTTATATAGAGGAACTATTTGTAAACCCAATTTTACCACCTGATACACAGAATGTAGAGGTGTCAAGATTTCATAAACTGCTTTAACTTCATTTTTTGTCCACAATCAATGAAATCTTACCACCTCTGCATTTTGCCACTGTTTCAAAGGGATTAAAATCATATTTTAAGTAAATTTTAATAGAAATTGATGAAATGTTGTTTGAAAAATTGGGGAACCCATAAAATATGTAATTGAAATAAATTATTGACTTTGACTTAAATTAAAAGTTAATCAATACCAAACGAAAGTCTGTAAACCAGATGGTAAATCTGGGTGTACATGTAGTTCCTCAACTTTCCATGTGCTTCAGAGGGGCAGGACCTAGATAGTACTTGTTCGAAACTTTGTCTTGAGTTGATGTGAGCCAGCAATGCTGAAACCCCATCCTTTTGAGCAATTTTGGACAAATGACCAATTGATATTTCATTGAAATTTTGAGTCAGATGAACACAAATATGAAGAAAGCACTAAAACTAGTTACACTATTATTCTAGTTAAGAAGGGCTTCTGCTCAGAGTCTCCTTCCTTCATTGAAGAGGAGAACTTCAATCAATACATAATCTAAAACCAAGAAAAACCTCATTATTAGCAAGTGACAAACAAGATATCGAAAACATAAAAGACCTTGTTCCAAATACTACAAGAAAACGGTCATAACAAAAATTAGTTTTGGAACAATTTATAATCAAGAATGGATTTGAATTTTATTTTCCCTCGGAATACCTCCATTGCCACCTTTTCCTTTTCAGCTTCTCCTTGCATGCAGTAAGCAGCACCCCACTGGAAAAGACATACAAAGCAAAAAAAAATGTGATTCAAGTAAACTCCAAATTTGCATAACTAGGAAAAAAGGATTTTGAATCCTATTAAAATGGTAAAAATTAATAACATTCATCACTACTTACGCAGACAGCTCCATCATATTGCTCCAAGGTGCAAATTCTTGCAGGGTGCTGAGGAATACCTCTATGATCCATGCAAGCTACAAGAAATAAAAGAAAATATGAGCCCTCTTCAAGAAGACCTAAATCTTATCCGTTATTAGTTAAAGAACCCTCTAGTCAAAACGTTTTGCCCTTGATTAAGTCCCATTTTTTGTTGGGAACACTTCAACAGCAAGGGGTTCGAGAAGAAATAGCCATAGAAATAATATGAAGATGATGAAAATAACGTGAAGAACCAAAACGAATTTGAAGGTTCAAACACGACATTATATCGCTGTCCTCAAACGATATTTACCCCCTCGGATACAATTTTTTGGTGCATAAAGGGTTGCCCGGCAAATGGTTTGTAGGAGTAATCAATCCTTGTCACAGAAAAACACAAAAGCACAAACGTTTTTTTATCCGAACTCGAAGAACACGAGGAAAACTTGAATATGGAGGGAAGGAAGTTTTTAATCCTTTATGTGGAATAATGTATATGTTTTTCACATGTTTGTAATATAATTTCAATGTCCATCAATCACTTAGTTATAATCATGGAACATTCCTACACGAAGTGGTGCCAAAGACAAGTGAAAAGCCGCTAAATTTTGAATTAAACCCACCACCAATGGCTACTATACCGCATAAAGCAATTCTATGCGACCATATAGGCATTTCGGAAGCAGGGCCTTAGGTCCTGCAACCATCAATGTGACCGCACTTTGTGGTCGCATAGATAAAATTGTGGCCCTCAATTATCATTTTTATTCCACAGGCTTCTTCATTGATTTTGAACAATATTTCTAACAATCCCTCACTTGTTCAAAATTTAATGAAGTCTCATATTCAAAGTATACAATACTCATGCAGAAAAATTAGATATCTTTTGATTTTAAATTTGACCATACTGTAATTCAAACAAAGTAAAGTTAGAATCAAATGTAGCATGAAGTTTTGAACTAATTGTTCCATATGACAATACCGATAAGAACAGACACGAGTATTATGGGTTCTCAAGTTCTTCAAACTCACGTAGCACTAATATGGCCTTGCACTTATCATTTTCAACAAACTTTTAAGAGAGAATCTTCAACTCTATATTGAGGCGGCACCACCTCGAACTTTATCTAGGTGAAGTTCTCCCAGTTTCTTTGCTACTTTTAAAGATATTTGTGTTTTAACACTGAACTTCATTAAGAGTTTTAAGCTCAACCCTCACTTCAGTAACAACTAGTATTATTTAATTAGAATAGGGTTATCAAGGATTTGAATAATGGTGCAACTATCTGCATATTAAATGATTTGTTGTTACCCTTTGAACACGTAGATTACCTTTTGAGTAATGACAGGTAAGGTTTCCGTCATTGGTGGACTTTTTTAGTTTAGGAGTTTCAATCCCATCTTATTCGAAGTAGACACCACAAAATCTCTATTTAGTGGTTTAGTCAAAGGATCCACTAAATTCTCAAATGACTTTACATAATTTAGAAAAATTATTCCATCCTTAATTAACTTCCTTATATAGATATGTCTAAGATTGATATATCTTGTTCCTAATTCACCGACAATCAAACCAATTGGATGCAAATGGGTATTTCGAGTGAAACGACATCCTGATGGATCCATTGATCGTTATAAAGCCCGATTGATGGCTAAAGGATTTCATCAAAGACCTGGCCTTGATTACAAGGAGACTTTTTCACCAGTCGTCAAACTTGCGACAATCTGGATTGTTCTCACCATTACCCTCTCTCGTGGTTGGGCACTTCGCTAATTGGATGTTAATAATGCCTTTCTCCATGGTACACTTGATGAAGATGTCTATATGGTTCAACCCACTGGCTTCATAGACTCTGACAAGCCAAATTATGTCTGTAAACTTCGCCAATCTCTCTATGGGCCAAAAAAGCCCCAAGGGCTTGGTACACCACCCTCAGTGGCTATCTCCAAAAATTGGGGTTCCATTAGTCAAAATCAGATTCTTCCTTATTCATTTATACTCGTGATGATATTGTGGTTCATTTTCTTGTTTATGTTGATGATCTTATATTGACAGGCAATTCGACAGACTTCAATGAGTTCATCATTCAATCCTTGGGTTCCAAATTTTCGATTAAAGATTTGGGCCAGTTACATTACTTCCTGGGCGTTGAGGTATTGCCTGTCAGTAATGGGTTGTTCTTAAGCCAACAAAAATATGTGCGAGATCTCTTTCACAGAACAAATTTAGAAGGAGCAAATCCAGTTTGTACCCCGATGGCTACCACTGCTCATCTCCACCTTGATGATGGCTACCAGCCAGCGATGGTACTGAGTTCCATCGAGTAATTGGGAGTCTTCAATATCTCTCCCTCACACGGCCATATATTACCTTTGTTGTCAATCGTTTAGCCCAATTCATGCATCGACCAATAGAGCAACATTGGAATGCTGTCAACCGACTCCTACTTTATCTCAAACAAACGGTGCACCATGGTCTCCTACTCTCCAAGGATGATGGAAATGCACTTACTGCTTATTCTGATGCCGATTGGGCTGGTAATGCTGATGATTGTACCTCCACATCTGCTTTTGTCATTTTCTACGGGAATAATCCTATCTCGTGGTGTACACGAAAGCAATGTGCAGTTGCACGTTCCTCAACTGAGGCAGAATATCGTGCTCTTGCAACAGCTACTTCTGAAATCGCTTGGCTCATATCTCTCTTTCAAGAACTGGGCATTCATTTTACAAAGCCTCCTAAACTTCTCTGTGATAATGCTGGTGCAACTCATTTAAGTGTCAACCCCGTGCATCACTCTCGGATGAAACACCTTGCTATTGATTTACACTTTGTACAAGATTATGTCAACAAAGGCCTTCTTGAGGTTTCTCATGTCTCAACCAATGATCAACTAGCTAACTTGCTGACAAAGTCTCTTCCTCGCTCTCGATTTCAGCTACTAAGATCCAAGATTGGAATCTCTGACGGGGATTCCATCTTGCGGGAGTGTAATAGTGCACCAGTCACTCTAATCAAAGATCATAATTCCAGCAGTCAAGAGAAATATTCTCCAAGCAAATTTCATGAGTTAAGCACACGGTTTACATGATTCAAGCACATCTATCGCATAAATCATGCATCCTCTTTGTATAGCTCATTTTACTTTATATATCATCATTCCTAAACTGTATAAATACCTTAGCCAGTTTGTATTTTAAGGGTGTGAGACAATAATATATTCAAAAAACTTTTAGAAGATAATTTGACTAGTCATCCGCTCAAAAATATTAATTTTGAGGGGTTCTTTTTGGGAAAACTATAAAAACAGAAACTAGTGATATGTCTGAAAGACGGATAATATCCTATTGATGAAAATTGGCTCATAGTTAGGGTTTTCTCCCCCATCTTCTTTCTGTGCTCATCAATATCAAACATGTTATCTAGTGAACGCTTGGTCCTCAATTATGCAAATCAATCACTTAATTCTCAATATCCACATATGCAACACTAAAAAATATGTGAACTTGTTAGTTTTCTAGTTGAACTTTTCAAGGAAACATTTTTTTCCAAATAATGATGAGGTTTTGAAAGAAAAGTTGAGTTAGTACTTTACCAAACATTTCTAGTTGAATTTTGGTGGAAAATTGCTTGCAAAATTATACTTCGAGAATTTGTACACGCATGTGTATATTCATCTTTAAAAGCGAATCCAAAGAAAAAATTTATGCAAGGGTTAGAGCACGTCTGTCACGTGGCATAGTTTCACTTTCTTTAAGAATAGATTGTCACATAAATTAAGTCTTGTTTGGTGAATATTAAAATTAATCCCCTGCCCCTATTAATTTTGATTCCATTATATTTCATTTTTCTCTATCCTATTTTCAACCACACAATCTTTCATAAAATATTATTATACGTAAATCGAAAACTTTTTCTTTTTTTCAACCACTCATTTTTTTAAGAAAAAAACAACATTCCACCCATTTTCATTTCTACAAAAGGGGGGGGGGGGGGCTAAATTTTTTATAAATTTTAATAAAGTTGATAAAATATGTGGTTTGAAAGTTGTGAGATCCAAAATTTTTATATGGTTAAAATTAATTTTTGACTTTAAATTGAAATTAAAATCTAAGTAGTCATGTGATCATTTGTTACTTTTTTTGTCATAAAAGAAATAAAACTTAATTTTGTAATTATCTGATTTTTTCTGAACAAAAAATTTCTTCTTTATATTAACATATATATTAATAGTTATGATCTCAAGTGAATCTTACTATCTGATGTTTGTCTGTTCCGTACAAGATTATGTCAAGTAAAATACAGAAATCCATATTTACCTTTTAGCCCCATTACATTATTTAGTGTTATAATTTTTGGAATAGTGTTTTTATGAAAAATGTGTGATTGAAAAATAAAGATTTTTTTTTGTTTACGTCTAATATTATCTTATGAAAGATTGAATGATTGAAAATAAGAGAGAAAAATTATAATGTGAAATAATGGGAGTCAAATGGGGACTAAATTTCTTTGACGCGTATATAACATCGAGTGTAAATGTGGAAGGTATAATTTTTTTGCATGGCCGTGCTTCAAAAGATGTAGAATCCATTTATTGACACTTGCAGAAAAAATCTCGTAAAAAGTAATTTTTGAAAAATTTCAAATACATTGGCTAAAAATTACTTAAAAGCAAAGTAACTTTGAAGACAGTTAGGGGGTGTATTCAATTGAGATTTTTAAAGACTTTTGGAGACTTTTTTAAGTGGGTTACTTTTGTGGACTTTGTGAAATTTTAAGATATTTTTATGGATTTGGTAGGAATTAGTAAAAGTTTTTCCTGGATTTATGGAGACTTTTACTAAAGACTTTTAAAAACTTTTGAGGAATTTTTTTTTTAAAGGAAATATGCTTTTCATAGTGTTAAATGTGAGATATTGAGGAATATTTATGAGAATTCACAACATTCACTTAAAAATGAATCTTTGAAATTAGAGGGAGAGATAGAGATCAACTAGTGAAAATTTACCATAACCTGATTTGAAGAAAACTCATAGCAAAGATTCAAAGAAATACCTAATTGGAAGAGATAGAGGAAAAACCTAGAGGGAAATAAGAATAGCATACTCTTTTTAGAAATCTCTCTATGGATGAGAGATTTTGGGAGAAAAATCCTATTTATATTTTCTATTAAAAAGTCTCTGAAAGTCCAAGAAATTTTAAATTTCCCGAAAGTCCCTCTAAATTGAATACCCCAAAACTTGTAGAGACTTTTAAAAAATTTCAATTGAATACCCCATAACTTCTGGAGATTTTTTAAAAGTCTATAAAAGTCTCTATTGAATACTCCCAAACTTTTAGAGAGTCTCTAAAAGTTTCAATTGAATACACCCAAACTTTTTAAATCTCTAAAAGTTTTTAAAAGTCTCGATTAAATACACCCCCCTTAGTGTGATATAAAGAAGAACCGTGCTAGATTGTCTAGATTAACTATATAAAGAATGCTAGCTTTTTGGGCTTTTGAACATTGAACATGAGATGTCCTTTCGAGGTGAGTTTTTTTTTTTTTAATCAAACATTTCTGTAGGAGGAAAAGTTGTTAGCACTTTGATCAAATTTTTCATGATATTAACATTTTTCCTTTTTGTTGGTTGATTTGTTGCTCGAGAATGAGAACGAAAATAAGATAACTGCT